CTTTTCTTTATATTAAAAACAATTATCTTAATAAATTTTGTAAAATTCTTAAAAAAGATACAATACATCAAAAATATCAAGTCATATCATAGATTGTACACAATAAAAATAATTAAGATTTTTATTGAAAATAATTAAACATTATAAATAAAAGTATATAGGAATTAATACATCTTATTTGTATGATATAATGTCAAGTGAGTTTTAATCGTTTCATCGTTGGATGGCGAGAAAAAGCAAAGTCCAAAGTTAAAATTCTATTTTTGAAGTCATTATCGGAATATTATAATTCCGAAAAAATACGAAAAAATACAAATGAATAATTGTAGTGATCCGACGGTATAGTTATTAGCTATTTATCGAATAGACATACAAAAGTTAATAGGGGACTGAGTAACGATAAAAGTAATGCTAAATTTATTACTGTTATGTAAAAAAAAAAAAATTACTGTTACCATTATAGATAGAAAGAATAATAATGGTAATGCGTTACTTTCCAGCCTGCGAAAAGAGCATGATCAAAACGTACCGTGTCGGCGCGGATCATAGCGGTAGATTGTAAGGAGGTCGGTTTGTAATTCCAGCGAGAATGAATGTTGGGTGTTGGGCTGGCTAAAAAAAGTTGAAATTGTGAAAGCTTATGGAACCGATCATAGCTGGATGAGCTTCCAAACGATTTCTTCTGCACTCTCAGCAGCTTCAATTCAGCGAATTCGATCCCGAAAGGCTCTAAACAGTTCATCCCGAGCTTCTTCTTCGCAGACGAGTGTATCTGTAGAGAATTGTAGATTGGACCTTGCCACGATGACGCCGCCGAGCGTTGCCGTGGCTGCTCGTAAATCACTTCGGGAACGTAAGGTCGCCATTTCGGCTGGGGACCGCAAGTCAAGTTCAATCTATGCCCAAACTTGTGAGCGACCTGTGAAATTAATTTTTACTAAACAATTACAAATATTTTGATTTCGTTCTTTTGCGCATTTTATATAACGACATTATTATGTACAACAGTTATGTATAATATTATTATTAAGGATATCTTTGATACCACAGTTTAATGATGCACAATCCATCTCCTGTATTTACAATAATTTTACTTTACGTTCGTAAATTGATTTCATCTCGAATTTAATCGATTTGGAAAATGGAAATATTATACCTGTCGATTCAAAGGTACAATATTAATAGCATCCACGTGAAATCTCGTTTCAGTAGCGCCAGAAACGATGGCAGACGATCCTAGCAACTTGATGGAGCCGCGAATTGTAACAGTGTGCGTCGCTATGCTGCACGATTCTTCGGCATAATGATAACGTAACAGGAGAAACGTGCCGTTCTTGAAAAATGTGTATTTTCTGATTATATACTCAGGGCCAGCTCGCACTTCGCATCTGCGACAAAAGATATATATATATATATATATATATATATATATATATATATAGATATATATATAAATATAATATACATATATTAGAATTTCTGTTTGAGATTCAAATCGCATTTATAAAGATTTTTCACAGTTTGTAAGAAAGAGACACAATTACTCTTGAGACAGCCACGTAGAATATAATCTGGAGGGACTATCGTCCACGATTGTCGCACGGTCTTCTCGCTTGATCTCCTTGATAGCCGTTTCGCATTGCATCCACGAATTTATGGATTCTGCAGAATTTCGGGCCAAAGTATAACTCGTTCTCGCTATAAAACAAAAGTAATATATTATAATAATAATTCGATCAACAAATATGACGAACAATATATGAATAAAAAGATGAACTGATGAAAGATGTGATCTTGCGTCTCATAACGAGAAAGGTGCGAACGACCGAAGAAGCGATCGCTGATGTACTTATACAGTATTTACACGACGGGAAGACACGAACTATCAGATAAAAAGAATTAAGGTCACGTAACTCGCCGAGATAGTAGTTGGAAACTAAATAGGCATTACGATGAAAGACGAATTTTATTGTGTCATTTATATGCGTATATCTATATTGCATTATGTTCATCTACAATATATTTCATTATGTTCAGGTAATTAATGAAAAAGGGGCCCCAAGTCTAAACAAATCTAAACATAAACTGAGCAAACGTTTCGCTAATCACGACGAGCCAATCTTTACGACTTTTGTCCCCACGGATCTGCAAGTTTGACAATCTTGAAATTTCTTCTATGACAGAATAAACCATATCACAAGAAAGATTATAATTAGATAATTTCATAATTAATGTCAAGAATCGGATTGTTAGATATACGTATGTATATTATTTTGTAATAAGAAACATTTTTTCATTTAGAGCTGTCTTAAAAAGCGCTGCTATAAAAAGAGAATAGACGAACGTGGAATTTAAGAATATATATTTAAGAATATATATGGAAACGTACGAATATATAGATAATATACATATGCAATTATCTATTTTTATAATTTTATAATAGTAAATTTATCAACAGAAGAAAATTCTTTCTTTTATTTAATTTGCTTATTAGACAAAAAGGAAAAATAAATGAATTGCTTCATTGCGATTTCAGATAAAATTTCACTTTATTGAAATTTGAATATGTACGTCATATATATATATATATATATAT